GTTGCGTTAATTAGGCCCAGGGGGGTTCGACAACTAAACATAACAAGAAGTGACAATTTTTTCGAATTCGGTAAATCTAAAAACAACTCAATACTGTATTTCGAGAGCATCAGCGATGCACGTGGTGAATAGGAGACGATGCGGTCCTTAAAGAGCCGCAGTCTGTCAACCCCTGGGTTAGACCAACGTGGACATTTGCTGCATTTTCCTTCGATAACCTATATCCACAGACTTGCTTGTGTTGCCTTTATTGGTCTTTAGTGTGTTCGTTACGTATGTGTGTAGGTTTCGTGTTACAAGTATTGATATGAGTGAATTATGAGTGGTGCTTGCATGTACGGATGTACACACACACACACGCGCGCGTGAATATTTCCATGAGTTAATTGGTATTGTGTGTATGCATTCATGTGGATTGAATCAGTGTTATTTATGTGACCGAATTCTTAGTGATATTACAGATAGAGGTACCCTAGCCGCCGGATTATAAGACGCATCACGTCTCTCCCCCCCCCCCCCCCACTGAATTTTAAAGCAAAAGTTGAAAGGTGCGACTTAAAATTTGATAAGTGATCAAGATTTGTAAATATTTTTATTGACACCAGGCACACGTTTTGGAGTGCGTCTTACTTTCCGGAACATCTGATAATCCGGAGATTAAGGTATAGGAGATGAATTCAGTACGCACACGTGTAAAGCAAAACACGTGTTTAGTGGCATCGTAAGAGAGTTGGGCATAACGCTCGTGTTTGTGTATGTACACATACTCTTGATATGGTTAAAAGCTAACGCTGGTTTGCATATATACAAGACAAAAGATCCCACCCAGTGAAGTCTTTCATTCTCCGCCAAGGAGTAAGTACGACACCGCGAGCACTTTTATATTCAGCGGCACGTGGCGCGCACGAACGTGATGTGACGAGCAGTGCTGACGTATAAACACAAACGACTACTTAAGGCTGAGTCGACATAGAGGAGGCCCAGGACCTGTTCAGACCTGTGCACAAGCCTAATAATAATTTCAATAAGAATATTTTAGACTGGAGAAATCCGATGAGCTATGAAGCTCTTTTTTCACAGATGTCCAGTACAATGTAGCAGGGGCCTGCTGAACAGTGTCTCCAGGCTCTGTGATGCTTTAGTGCGGCCCCTGTGTGGCCTTTAGTGTGGCCCCTGTGTGGCCTTTAGTGTGGCCCCTGTGTGGCCTTTAGTGCGGCCCCTGAGTGGCCTTTAGTGCGGCCCCTGAGTGGCCTTTAGTGTGGCCCCTGTGTGGCCTTTAGTGCGGTCCCTGAGTGGCCTTTAGTGCGGCCCCTGAGTGGCCTTTAGTGTGGCCCCTGTGTGGCCTTTAGTGTGGCCCCTGAGTGGCCTTTAGTGTGGCCCCTGAGTGGCCTTTAGTGCGGCCCCTGGGTGGCCTTTAGTGTGGCCCTTGGGTGGCCTTTAGTGTGGCCCCTGTGTGGCCTTTAGTGTGGCCCTTGGGTGGCCTTTAGTGTGGCCCCTGTGTGGCCTTTAGTGTGGCCCTTGGGTGGCCTTTAGTGTGGCCCCTGTGTGGCCTTTAGTGTGGCCCCTGTGTGGCCTTTAGTGTGGCCCCTGGGTGGCCTTTAGTGCGGTCCCTGAGTGGCCTTTAGTGTGGTCCCTGAGTGGCCTTTAGTGTGGCCCTTGGGTGGCCTTTAGTGTGGCCCCTGAGTGGCCTTTAGTGTGGCCCCTGTGTGGCCTTTAGTGTGGCCCTTGGGTGGCCTTTAGTGTGGCCCTGGGTGGCCTTTAGTGTGGCCCTGGGTGGCCTTTAGTGTGGCCCTTGGGTGGCCTTTAGTGTGGCCCCTGGGTGGCCTTTAGTGTGGCCCCTGTGTGGCCTTTAGTGTGGCCCTGGGTGGCCTTTAGTGTGGCCCTGGGTGGCCTTTAGTGTGGCCCCTGTGTGGCCTTTAGTGTGGCCCTTGGGTGGCCTTTAGTGTGGCCCCTGTGTGGCCTTTAGTGTGGCCCTTGTGTGGCCTTTAGTGTGGCCCCTGGGTGGCCTTTAGTGCGGTCCCTGAGTGGCCTTTAGTGTGGTCCCTGAGTGGCCTTTAGTGTGGCCCCTGTGTGGCCTTTAGTGTGGCCCCTGGGTGGCCTTTAGTGCGGTCCCTGAGTGGCCTTTAGTGTGGTCCCTGAGTGGCCTTTAGTGTGGCCCTTGGGTGGCCTTTAGTGTGGCCCCTGAGTGGCCTTTAGTGTGGCCCCTGTGTGGCCTTTAGTGTGGCCCTGGGTGGCCTTTAGTGTGGCCCCTGAGTGGCCTTTAGTGTGGCCCCTGTGTGGCCTTTAGTGTGGCCCTGTGTGGCCTTTAGTGTGGCCCCTGGGTGGCCTTTAGTGTGGCCCCTGGGTGGCCTTTAGTGTGGCCCTGGGTGGCCTTTAGTGTGGCCCTGGGTGGCCTTTAGTGTGGCCCTGGGTGGCCTTTAGTGTGGCCCCTGGGTGGCCTTTAGTGCGGCCCCTGAGTGGCCTTTAGTGTGGCCCTTGGGTGGCCTTTAGTGTGGCCCTTGGGTGGCCTTTAGTGTGGCCCTTGGGTGGCCTTTAGTGTGGCCCCTGGGTGGCCTTTAGTGTGGCCCTTGGGTGGCCTTTAGTGTGGCCCTTGGGTGGCCTTTAGTGTGGCCCTGGGTGGCCTTTAGTGTGGCCCCGGACAACACACAAATGTGACCCCCCCCCCCTCCCCCTACTATCATCATCGTGCTGCTGTGAAACCCCCAATGGTTTAAAATGTGTGGCGGCCCTCACACTGACGATTTATTATCGACGAAAGTGTGGGCCCCCCTCTCTGTGAAAGTGTGGGCCCCCCTCTCTGTGAAAGTGTGGGCCCCCCTCTCTGTGAAAGTGTGGGCCCCCCTCTCTGTGAACGTGCGCGCCCGGAGCACGATTCCCAAACCACCGCGATAATATCTCACCCGTCAACGCGCACCGCCCGGCGTGGTGAAGTATGGTAAAAAAATCCCTGTGAGTGACAACGGCTTAGTGGGGGGGTTGGGGGGGGGGAGGCCATCATCTGGCAGTGGATTAACAAAGGGGAGCTGGCTGAACATTGTGGCGTTGTCGTTGCTGCGGGGAAAGTGCTGTTAGCGAGCACGCGCATTGAAGCCAGGACTGTGGGACACCACGCTCGGCCGCCTTTGTCTTACCCAGTGGTGATGTTTACACAGCTCGTTTAAGGCCGCTGTCTCGACAGGTTTGTTTTTGTTTTTATCTCCTGCTTAAAGAAGGGACACACAATGTGCATCGCGCACACAGTCTACGTACGCCACATGCTCCGCATACACACACACACATTGTACACACATTGTACACAGTACACGCATGACACACACACACACAACGTCCACAGTACGCACACACAGCACACACACACCGTTAACAATACGCACACCCAAACAGCACACACATTACACACAGCACACACATTACACACAGCACACACATTACACACACAGCACAACCCACACCGTTCACAATACGCACACCCAAACAGCACACACACATATCGCACACACAAACAGCACACATACATACCGCACACACACACAAACAGCACACATACACGGTCCACATGCTCACACAGCACACAATGTTCACCCACACAGTACACACACTGCACACATGGTACACACGCACACACCGCACTCATACACAGCGCACACACAGCACACAGACAAACAGCACACACAGCACACACACACACCGCACTTATACACAGCACACAAACACACCGCACTTATACACAGCACACACACACACCGCACTTATACACAGCACACAAACACACCGCACTTATACACAGCACACACACACACCGCACTTATACACAGCACACAAACACACCGCACTTATACACAGCACACACAGAAACAGCACACACAGCGCACACACACAGCACACAAAGAAACAGCACACACAGACACACACAGAAATAGCACACACAGCGCACACACAGACACACAAACAGCACACACAGCGCACACACAGACACGCGCACACACACAGCGCACACAGCGGATACACACAGACACGCACACACACAGCGGATACACACAGCGCACACACAGACACACACAGCGCACACAGACACACACACAGCGCACACACACACACAGCGGATACACACAGCGCACACACAGACACACACAGCGCACACAGACACACACACAGCGCACACACACACACAGCGGATACACACAGCGCACACACAGACACACACAGCGCACACAGACACACACACAGCGCACACACACACACAGCGGATACACACAGCGCACACACAGACACACACAGCGCACACAGACACACACACAGCGCACACACACACACAGCGGATACACACAGCGCACACACAGACACACACAGCGCACACAGACACACACACCGCACACACAAACAGCACACGCACACAGCGCACACGCGCACACAGCAGGCATACAGACACAGCGCACACGCACACAGACACACACAGCGCACACACAGACACAAACACACAGCGCGCACACACACAGCGCACACACAAACAGCACACACAGCGCACACACACACACACAAGCGCACACAACACACAGCGCACACACAGACACACACACAGCGCACACACACACAAACAGCACACACAAACAGCACACACAGCGCACACACACACACACAAGCGCACACAACACACAACGCACACACAGACACACACACACACAGACACACAGACAGCTCACACAGACACAGCGCACAGCGCACGGGTCACATGAACATCATCCCCAGCTTGCGCGCACGCACGATGCCTCCTCCTCCTCCCGCCTCCGCCACCGCCGCTGCAACCCACGGCGCCTCTCTCGCGTTGCCTCCTCATTCATATTCACGAGGCTATTTGCGTACGAGGCGACTCCGCGCTTAATATTAATGAGGGCGAAGCTCGCGTAAGGGGAGTGGGAGAGGGGGAGGGAGGAGGAGGAGGGGATGGAGGGAGGAGGTGCAATGGCAATGGGATGTGATGCTGATGGTGGTCAGAAAACGCAGCGCTGAAACAAATTGGAGGGGAGAGAAGGAGGAGGTGGTGGTGGTGGGAGGAGGAGGAGAATCATCATCATCGTCGCTGCTGCTGCTGCCAGTGCTTGTCGTGGCGGTCACTTCTCTCGAGAGCTCCCATCCCAACCGAGATTGGCATCACATCTGGTAAGCTGGCTGGCTGGCTGGGAGAGATCGCATCACCGCCAATGCTGAGCCAGGAGGAGCAGTCAGTCAGCTGTGCTTGCTGCTGCTGCTGATGCCTGGCTTGGGTTATGTTGGTGGTGATGGCTTTTAACTGGCGTTCTGTTCATAAACATCCACCCACGTTTTATTCATTCATGGCTTAAGCTATTTCTCAAAATTCGCGTGTCCGCTGTATTGTATTGCTGCTGTTACGGGTCAAGATTTTAGTGTAAAGGAGGTTGCATTTACGCAACGAGTTGCGTTTAAACTGTCCAAGCGTGTGTGTGTGTGATTTGTGTTTGGGTTTTTTGTTTTGTTACATATGCAGTGTGTGTGTGTCTCTACTGTAGTTGTTGTTGTTGTGTGCGTGGTCGTGGACACATGAATGAAATGTTGAATGATGTACACGGGTAGGGATGGAATTGTGCCACTGTCGTCGTGTGTGTAAGAGAGGCACGGCGCTCTCTGTGTGTGTGTTAGTGTGTCTGTGTGTGTTAGTCTGTGTGTGTTAGTCTGTGTGTGTGTTAGTCTGTGTGTGTGTTGGTCTGTGTGTGTTTGTCTGTGTGTTAGTCTGTGTGTGTTGGTCTGTGTGTGTGTGTTGGTCTGTGTGTGTTAGTCTGTCTGTGTGTTGGTCTGTGTGTGTGTTAGTCTGTGTGTGTGTTGGTCTGTGTGTGTGTGTGTTAGTCTGTGTGTATGTTAGTCTGTGTATTAGTCTGTGTGTGTGTTAGTCTGTGTGTGTTTGTGTGTGTGTGTTTGTGTGTGTGTTAGGTGCTCGCTAACAGCACTTGCCCCTACAGTCTGTTAAGGCTATATGGGGGATCTTTATCTTTGTGTGTTAGTCTGTGTGTTAGTCTGTGTGTGTGTTAGTCTGTGTGTTAGTCTGTGTGTGTGTGTTAGTCTGTATGTGTGTGTTAGTCTGTGTGTGTGTTAGTCTGTCTGTGTGTGTGTTAGTGTTAATCTGTGTGTGTGTTAGTCTGTCTGTGTGTGTTTGTCTGTGTGTGTGTTAGTCTGTGTATTAGTCTGTGTGTGTGTAAGTAGGAGAGGCACGGCGCTCTGTGTGTAGGTGCGGGGGGGAGGTTGGGACGGAAGAGCAACAGTTGTGCATGGGGTGAAGTGTGCGTTGTGTGGTCGTCTGTGTGTGTGTGGTCGTCTGTGTGTGTGTGGTCGTCTGTGTGTGTGTGGTAGTCTGTGTGTGTATCTGTGTGTGTGGTAGTCTGTGTGTGTGTATTAGTCTAGTCTGTGTGTCTGTCTGTGTGTTAGTCTGTGTGTGTGTGTGGTAGTGTGTGTGTGTCTGTCTGTGTGTTAGTCTGTGTGTGTCTGTGTGTGTGTGGCAGTCTGTGTGTGTGGTAGTGTGTGTGTGTTAGTCTAGTCTGTGTGGTAGTGTGTGTGTCTGTGTGTGTGTTAGTCTCGTCTGTGTGGGGAGCGGTGGTGCAGGGGTTAGCGCGCCGCGCTACGAACCACCCGAGTTCGATCCCCGCTCACGGCCAGCATCAGTGGCGATTAGCTGAACCCTCAAACGAGTACCTGGTGTGGGGTGGAAACATCCCCTCTGGGGAGACAAAGGCGGTCGGGCGCGGTGCTGGCCACCCATCCCTTTATTGTGTACCGTTCTGACCCTTAATAGGTGCTCGCTAACAACACTTGCTCCTAAGAGCATGTTGTTAAGGCGACACGGGGAAAAGTTTGTTGTGTGAGTGCAGCGTGCGTTCCAAACTCAAGGGGTGATTGAGATGATGCTATAACATCGTGACTTGTACACATAGGCTGGGACAATGAGCGTATTTACTGAACAACATGTTTCGATTCAAAGCTTTCGTGACTGCAGGGATTCATGTTCTTGGTTCTTTCGGTAAAGTCACGTAGAATGGAATTTTTTAAAATTATGTTTTATTTTTTTATTATTTCATTCTACGTGACTTTACCAAAAGAACCAAGAAAACAACATGGATTCGAAGCACACATTTACACAAACGTTAAATACCCTTATACATGTGTAATGACTACTGGGGGAAAAAAACATACGGCTTCCCAAGAAATCGTCTTTATTTGATTCAAATACTGTCGGTGCCATACGTCCTGCATACGTTCGATGATTATCAATCCCCCTTTTAAACGTTAAGAGGGACAACAGCATTTGCGATTGACAACTTTGATGAAAGCATTGTGTGTGTGTGTCCACCTTGTCTTGTAAGTTGTCTATCGGCAACGCAGCGAAGTCGCTGACAACTTTTTATCTTGCGCGTGCGTCAATGGAAGTTGACTCGTGGCGCAGTTAATACCGACTCTCAATGTGTCCATAACATCACTTGCCCTGAAAGGAAAAACATGTATACAACAATAGCAAATGTTTGTGTGTGCTATTAAAATGGGCCATTGCCCGAAACGTCGCATCAATTGTTTCTCATTTGGGGGGGGGGGGGGGGTGGCAGTGATATTGACACGTGCGTTGAGTTTTTCTTATTTATCACACCAACAAAAGAAACCCCGTGTGGTTAATAGCCACATTTTTGGGTAAGTTGGCCTAGGGCATTAGCAGTACAGTATTGCTGACAAAGGTTATTTATTTTCTCGGTAGTTCAAGGTAAGACGATTTAAAAAAAAAACACGACAATGTACAATTTAATTGATTACAAAAAAAAACTTAACTTTTTCTCAGTTTGCACTACGATGCAACGCAATATAAGATCGAACGAACCGAAATTATTGTTTCAAGGCCGTATCGTTCTTTCCGGATTATAATACGCCCCCCACCCCAATTCCCCGACGAAATTGTTAAATGAGAAGTTGTCTTGCGTCTCAACGTAAGCCGCCGGGTAGGACTGCACGTGTACATGTGCGACCGGCAAGATTTGTATGAGTCTTGGGGGTGGTGCGTCTTAATTTCGGGTTAAAATGCGTTATATCCCTATTCGAAGTGCATTATTCTACGGTACGGGTCGAAAACCAAAATAACAAGAAATACTTTTTTACGAATTCCGAAACAATAACAAAAAACAACACAACATTACAAGAGCCGCAGCAGCAGCAATATATGTGAATACAAGACGATGGGTCTTTAATACATCACGCCACGAAGCCGCATGTTTTTGCCCGACTCCTTGTGCTATATACAGAGGAATTGATCGTGGAACGGCTCGGATCATTTTAATAGAACATGCCATGGTTTTGGTTTATAAGTTAAAATAAAAGTGTACGTATATTTTCCCCCGACTGAGAAAGAATACAGATACTAATAGGGTTTTTCCCCTTTTTTCTGGCAACAAAACTGACACCTTTTGCAAGGAATCATGCTTACATTAACCACAATACCTGCAGTCAAATGCAAACAAAAAACAATACTCTGATAAGAATACAGATGTCACGTATTTCGATTTAAAGCTTTCGTGACTGCAGGGATTCATCTTCTTGGTTCTTTCGGTAAAGTCACGTAGAATGGAAATAATAAAATAATAAAAATAAAACATAATAATAAAACATTTATTATGTTTTATTTTTATTCTTAATAATAATAAAACATTTATTATGTTTTATTTGTATTCTTTTATTATTTCCATTCTACGTGACTTTACCTAAAGAACCAAGAAGAAGATGTCACGTAATTAGGAAGATCGTATTTGAATGCAATTGCTGAACGTTGTGATATGACGGCGTGTAGCCTTGGTGCTGTTTAAAAGGACCTCGACGTAAGCCAATTGGTCTTGTCTCAAAGTCACGCTTACAACTTGAATCTGGAGTGTTTTTTTAACTGTCTTCATTACTCTGATCATGTCCCCCGCACACGCAATGGACGCGAGTCTTCCTGTGTCTAAGCCGAATAAGATGGGACCTGTCTCTTCTTCACGACGAGAGTGCGTGTCAGCTGCCTGATGCGAGGGATAAGTTCATGATCCAATCTGCCTTTGCCTATGTATATGTCAAACGTGGTCGGTGCGGATATGATATTATTATTATTGTGACGCTTGCTCTAACCCACGAAAAACATCTCCTGAGTCTCATTACTCTTATTTAGGAGGAATCCTGCAAAACGTTTCACAGTAATTGGCGATGATGATTGATGTATATCACATCCCGAGCGAGTTAATGTGCGGGTCGTAAAAAAAATGTAGCAAAATGTGGACCATGACGCCTACACACACACACAATGGCTCGCTATTGTGAATGACGGCACGGGACCTTGAACGTCCACTTCGAAGCAGAGGGCGAGGAGTAATTTTTATAAAGTAATTTTTGTTACGGCCAACCAGTAAGAGAAACCAGGGAGGGCCGTCCGCTCTGCAACGGGAAATTAATAGAGCTGTCATTTTCATGGCCCTCCTCTTCCCACTAACCTGTATTCAGAGCACTTAAAAGGTAATCTACTTATTACGTAAGTGGCGAGATGATGGGCAAGGTTGGCTACGTACGGTGCGAAAGATGTTCAACATACACTTACATTGTGAGTTTTTTTTGTTAAATAGCACAGATCGAAACGTTATAACGATTTTAAATTAACTGACCTTCTGTATCCGTTACTCACGCCTCTTCGGTGTAGCTATCTATGTTTTCTGAATTTCTTCCGCCGTTTCAATCTCACGTAAAATTCCGTGCAGCCAGTCACCAAGCTAGTTTCGGTGGCAACGGCACGCGGACACTAACATCAGAGTTGTTGTTGGCGTGGAGAAGGGGCCCAGTCAGCAGCCAGCTTGGAAACTCGAGGCATAGATTACTTTTAAGGGTACTGTAGTATGATATACCAGCAGTATTAATCGGGGTGGCCGCTGAATTCGAACCGTGAACCTGTGAAACGAGCAGTGAATGCGCTACCACTGGGCCATGTGGACCACCCAAGGACGTACACACACGCACGTATAACTCCAAATAAATATTGCTATGTTTTCAATTCACTCATTGCTGAAATGTGTGATATCATTATGCATAAGTGGTTATCATCGATTGATTTTGGCTGTTAGGTTGTTTTTCATGATACTGTTGTAAGGAGTTTT